ACAACGTCGTTGCCAAGCGACGAAAACCCAACCCCGATGGTAAACACCGGGGGGGAAGGGGTGCACTATTTAATAGTCGTGCATGCCGTAGTCGTTAGACCATTGACCTCGCATCCCTACAAAGCCGGGACAGAGGGGGGGACTCATATTGAATCGGTTAACTGTTCTTGTTCCTGGAACCGGCGTCGATTTTGGGTCTCCATGCTCGTTCCGTGCGTCATTGTTTTCAGGGGTCAAGTTGTCAATTCTGTTTCTGCCTCTTGCAGCAGTACTTGACCAATCTTTCACTTCTTGGGGCCGTTTTTTTCATTTTTTTGCGAAAGGTTCGACGGCAGTTGTTCAGCGAAGACTCCGAGGCCAGGCCCTTGGTGTTCTGCCCCTTTTGCGGCGAAGGCGTTGTCCGTGCGAGGGGATTACGAGACCATCTTCAGGTACATACGTACATACCGTTTATGGCGTGACGCAAGATATCACACCCCCCTGGATCGATTCTTAAAGCTCATCGATTGCTCCATCACGAAAAAGGAGCCACTCTAAGCAAAATTAATCAAACGGTGTGTTTTGAGAAGGCTGTGGACGAGGCGGTTCCAACGCCGCCATTTTCGGCGCCGCCAGTCTTTTCCACTATTGAGTAGTAGAGCTTTGAAAATTGGAAAATCGGTCCGGGGATTGCGGGGTAATCTTCAGGTGTAACGTATACCATTTATCCAACCCTGTTTAGTTCGTGTGTGTGTTTCCCTTCCCAGCTGTTGACGGCTTGTTGGTAGTGATTTATGTCTTGGGATCGGCAAACATCTTACGGCAACACGAAGGGATTGAGAACCCGCAAGAATCGATCGCCTAGAGCTTCGTTGCTGTTTGCCGGGTTAGGATAGGGATGATTCGAACTTGATCAGGAATTACGCCGAACAAGTGTCCCAGGCTCAGGGTGGAGTTCCACATCAAGAATGCGCGTGTTTGTACGAACAAAAATGATTGTCCTCTCATTTGCTGTTTTGCGTGACTCGCCCCGGCATCCACATTCGTGCTTAGGACATGAACATTGCCTGTTTTTTTATTTGTTTAATTGTTACGGTCAGGAGTGCTACGTGCTCGATCGATGCCGTGGGAGCGAGACACACAAGCAGGTAAGGTAACGTACGAAGTACGTTTCTTTTTCAACAAACAAGGAACGAACTATTATAACCCTATCTGCCTTGTCATATTATGCCTACAGTCTACGGTTGGCACGTCCCCTTTCGAACTCCCCTCACGACGATCTAACTTTCGATACTTGTAATTCTCGATGATTGCAGCAATCGATGCCTTCCTTCGTGGCCTTTGTCGATGGTTGTCATAAATGGTGGCAATCGCCGATGCTTGCCTTCCTTAGTGGCAATAATTCGTGGCAATAAAATGTCTGTGCTTCGTGGTAAAAATTATCGATGATTGTCTTGACGGAGTAGCAAAAGACAACGGGAACGCTTTTCCTGAAAAGGAGCACGATGCCTTCGGTTGAATATCTCGTTCGGTCGTGGCAAAGCAGGGGAGGGGGGTGTTGGTTCTCTTTGGCCCTCCACTGGTGTAGCCACCAAAGGTGCCCTCGCTCTGTACTTCAGGACCCAATCTAAAGCACTCAATGTGTGATGACGCACATATCCGAATGTATGCATGCCTGTTCTTCTGTGACGGCATCGGCTGAACGTTTGCACAATGTACAGAAACTCAAATGATCCTCCTGATCCGTCCCGTCAATCGTTTGTGTGTGTTGTCCAGGTGGAAGTGGCCATCAAAGCCGTCTCGGTGGAGAACCAGATGCACACTAGCGCTACCAACACTCACGGCAGACGTGAGCATACCCACCTCTTTGTCGTGATCGATGTAAATGTTTGTGGGGGGGGGTACGTGGTTGTGAATCGCTGTCAGCGGTGTTGGCCTGGCGGATCTTACAACCCTCGAAAAATTTGCAGTATTGCTTGAATTCAAGCCCGCCTGCACGAGCGGGAGACAGACCCAGCGTTTAGTGCAGTATTGTCCACGAGATTCAAGAATGTTTGAACAGCAATGGGGTGGTAATAAAGCAGAGAAACCGCGAGAAATGTGACCCCTGTTCCCCCCTCTCTTCCCCCTCTCCTGGCATTGAAAACCTGGCAAACTCCGTCCGTCATTGTGTCCTGTATACATGGTAGAGATGCGAGTCTGTTGTCTACACGGCAATCGTTACACAAAAGCCAACCAGAGAATGATCCCTCTCTTCTGCCCCGCCCAGCTCATTGACTACCATCTTACTCCCCCCCCTCCCCCCCGCAATTCAACTAAGGCGCGTCTTCGCTGAACGACGGTTCATTCCAAGACTCGTCTACACTCCTGCAGCACGCTCTTTCTCCCTTCGTCTCGAAAGGAAACGATCCGGAGAACGTTCTCGCACCAGCAGTCGCCTCGGAAAATTCCGAGCTCGGACGCGTGGTTGCTACTGGGGGGTTGCGCGGTACGGCGGGGGGAGAAGTTTCCGGCGTGAGTTCGGAAGTGTCTTCGGGTGGAGGAGGAGCAGGAGGAGCGAAGTTTGAGCGGTGCGAGGACTGCGGGCGGACTTTCGCCCCCGGGAGGCTTCGATCGCACGCCAAGGTGAGTGAGAGAACCTCTTGCTGCTGCTGCTGCTGCTGCTGCTGCTGCTGCTGCTGTAGCGCCTTGTGGGTGGGTGTGTTTCGTAACTAGCATCGACCGCGTTAACCGCATGTAGTAGCGTGATAAAAAACGCGAACACGTTTTCTATTCAAACGCTTATACCGACCGGTGTGTGTGTGTGTCTTTATTATTGGCATCGACCGCGCGAACCGGCTGACCAATGAAAAGACGTCAGTGCCAGTGCGGTCAAAAACATGAACACTTGTAAAGGTCATTAGCTGGGACCCCGTCAGGGGGCGGCATGGGGGAAGCTAAGCTATTCTCTGGATCAAAGACAGAAACGGTAGCAACAGAGGAGATCTGCACGTGTCTACCGGTGTGTGTGTGCACGCGTCCCAACCAACCAAACCTTCGGGCGAGTCGTCGGTGCTAGGTTAGCTAGGGATCAAAACAGGCTCTTCGTAGGGAGGAACAGGGTTGTTTTGTTTACTTTCTCGCTCCAACCTGCAAGTGTGGTGCCGGTGTTGCAGGATTTGGCACGCTCGAATGGATCAACCAAACAACTCTTCACGCGTGAGTTGAACAAGCTCACGAACAAAACAACACAAAAAACTTGGAAAGGTGTTCATTTTTTTTTTTTCAGCGCTGGCAGTGAGAAGTAGTTCCGAGAGAGGTCATTGGATTTTTTTTCTTGGCCATTTTTTTTTTTTCTTGCACTTTGGGTTTCTGCGGTGCAGGCATGCCGAAGTGTGTTCTTAGAGCGCCGCCGCCCGTACGACCCGAAGGCAATGCGGGCGAGGGGGACACCGCTCGAGTTCTTCCAGCAGCCCATCGGTGAGTGGTGCTCCGCATGCCTGAACAAGCGGACATGGAACATTCCGTGTGCTTGCAGGCGGTGTTGACTAGCGGTGGGGAAGGTTCGGTGGGTAATCCGTATGCCGGACATGGGAATACGAAACGTTCCGCGTGCTGTTGTCGGTGCAGTCGTAGCTGGCGATGGAAGTTCGGTGGGTAATCCGTATGCCGGGTACGGGAGTATGGAACGTTAACGTTAACGTCCCGTGTGCTGCTTTTGGTACATCAGTAGAAGTAGTCGCGGCTGTCGCCGGTGGTTTCAGCGATGGCGATAGCGGTGGTTGTTGTCATGGTTGTCCTTGTCCAGGCTACATGTGCCTCGCAAGTTGAAACTGTTGTAGTGATGTCAAGACGAACGTTTTACCGGGACAGATGGATGTCCTCATTGAGTCTCGTCGTCGTCGTCGTCGGTGCTGCTCGTTGTTGGCTCCGTCTCGTACTGATTCCGTTCCATCCACCACTAGCTCCTAAAAGCTGAAACTATGACGCCGGTCAGTACAGTGCTCGTTCGCTGGTGGAACCATAACACAACCAACGACAACAAACGATGATACGATGACACCCACCTCTTTTCAGGGGTCCCACCTCTTTTCAGGGTCCCACCTCTTTTCAGGGGTTTAGTCTACGGAGCTCCCGCTACCAAGCCCCCTCCAAACGCCTTACTCTTTACTAAATTCGAACACCTTACCCCGATATCCCCTGCGCCCCTTCCCCGACACACCAACTTCCGACGCTACAGGCGCGGCGAGCTCCGACAACCCTACCACATCAGGCAAGGGGGGAGACGGCGGGGGCAACGCGGCATCGAGAAGAGGGGTTGGCAGAAACAAGCCGTCCTCCGTCGGAGGGAGTTCCGTGAGGCGGGAGGGATCCTCTGAGAGTGGGGACGCGGACCGCGTGTCCCCGGGGGGGCTGGATGTTTCTGTCGGGACCGGTGGGGGTTCCTCGAGGGGGGTAGGAGGGGAGGTGGGCGGCTCGTTTCTCCGAAGGAGCAAGAAGGTTGCGCTTAAGACGCTGCCTGCGGTCGAGGGAAGGTACGACGAGAGCTTGCAGTGTATGAACGTGGTTTTATTTTATTTGAGCAAGTCAGGGCCCGAATGAGCTTTCCTTAGCGTGACCCTGCCTTGTCTTGACGTACGTAGACTTGTCTTTACGACGTAGGCTTGTCTGAACGAACGTAGCGCCCGTCCAGGAAAAGGTTATTAGAGAGAAAACTGCGAACACCTCTTCTCTCTCCCAGACTTACACGTTACAGGTGACGAGTTGGGCTTGCCTCAAATGCAACCCTTGGATCAACCCCCATCTTGTTGGGGGAGGGGCTGCTGAAGTTGTACGTGTTGCTTGGCAGCGAGCGGAGCACGGCCTGAGGCCTTGATTGTAGTTCTCAGAGGGGAGTGCATGGCGCTCTGTGCTGGTGAATTCTCCGCTAATACCGTAAACATCGGAGTTTTCCCCCCGGGGAGGGGATCGTTTTTTTTCTGAAACCAAGCCCCCCGGGGGGAAAAATCGACGTACTCCTGGGAGTTAGTTTTTTTTTCCAACGCTACCCCGGGGGGAAGCCACCCCCCGGGGAGGTTGTGCAAAATAATTGTGGTCCACACACCACACACAGAGAGAGTGGCGAAACTGAGATGGATAAGGTTAACGGTTAACGAGCAAGCGTTCAACAACCGGAGGGAGGAGGAACGTAAGATCAACGAAGGCGAAGAGAAAAACGACAGCAAGGAGGGCAGAAGCTGGGGGAGTTTGTCACGTCCCGCGAATGATAGGAAGAGCCCGCTTTCCAGCGACAAACGGTACACCTAAATCTCGCTCGCGCAGATCTGTAAATGAATTTTCCGTACCATATCATGCTTTTTGCGCTCCGCGATGCGACAAAATCGACTCAGAAAATAAGGAAATTACATCCCCCCCGGGGGAAACTCGTGGGAAAACAGGTACCCCGGGGGGAAATTGAAATATCTGGGGGGATCTGTTTTTTTTGGTCGAAAACGATCTACCCCGGGGCTAAAACAAAGAAACTATGCATCCAGGCCGAAAAGGTAATGTGGGGGGGGAAACTCTACTAAATAGGGGGGGAAAACTCCGACGTTTACGGTACCCTTTGGTTGCGCTAGCCCCCATGAATCCTGCAAGAGAAGAGTGAATCCCAGCGCGACATACTTGCCCCTCGGCTTCAGCATCAACCAAGACTCTACAGCCATTCACGCGAGCTGAAAGCCATGCCGCCATGGACTGATTTCGCGGTGCCCCCGCCTTCATATTGCACATAAACCCTACTTGCAGAGCACGGATGGTTGGTTTGCTGCTGTAAGTATTACTACCCACAGCGAGAGTTTCTGGCAACACCGCAAACGTTAACATTCGTGCAGAAATTGCTTTTATGACAACCATACGGCAGGCTTCGGTCAACATATATATTTTTTTTCGAGAGACGTCCTCTTTTTTGCACTCCACACCGAACTGCCTTGCACCATGATACATCCCTCCCTGTTTGTGTCCGATTCATGCACCCTTTTTTTCTCTCTCTCCTTCTCTCTCCCTCTCTCTCCCTCTCTTTCTTTCCTCTCTCTCTGTCCACCGTTGGCTTTCTGACCAGCGTTCCCTGTTGTTCGCATGACACCCGCCGCCGCATGTCCACGATGATAACGGCTTGCCAACAATTACTGTCTCTCTTTTTTGTTGTTGCTGTTTTTTTTTTTTGTGCTTCTTTTGGGGCAGGGCGCACTGCCCTTTCTGCTCCAGCTCCATCCCTCGCGCCAAGCTCTCGGCGCATCTCCTGCGATGCAAGAAGTTGCGCAGGTCTCAGACCTGTCCAAGACCCAAGGTAAGCAATTTATTGGCATGCTTTGGTCCCCTTCCCTGCAGGTCAGCCTGAACGTTTGGGAGCCTCTCTGCAGTAGAGTTGTGCGGCTGCTGGGGCGAATCGCCATGGTACGCTATCGGTTTTCATGCACCTGGTCGGCACATGGATACACATGTTCCCGTGCAGTTTCCCGTTCCACTTTTTGTACCGCCGGGATCTTGCTCTGTGCCGTTTTGCGCTTTACGGTAGATCGGTCGTTCGACCCCCGTTGTCCCTCTCGTTTCTTGAGCGGTTGTACGCTTTCCCGTTCGTCTTAGTCAAGGCCACCTCACGTACCCCCCCCCCCCCCTGCTCCTTTTCTTTTTGT